CTGGTTTACAGAGAAAATCACAGGTCAGCCAGGGCACACAATACCTTAGGAAAAGGGTCATTTCAGAACCTACATGGCCCCAGGCTGGCCTAACTTCACCTCAAGGCTTTTCAACAGTGGTCTAGAAATGTGCTCCCAGGCTAGCGTCATGTCTTAAACAGATCAGCGACCTGCTTCCCAGCTCTGTGACGCCAGGCAATCAGCATGAACTCTCCATGTCTGTTCACACATCCTTGGATGCAGGCAATACCCACCAACTCTGGGGAGTACCGTAAGACATCATGAAATGTCTGCACATTTGTCCAGACAGAGCCTCCTATGTGGATGATTTACTGGTTTCTTAAGATTTATCATTCAACTCCATACCTGGGCCAGGAAAAACCCATGTCTCATTCTGACAGTAATGAAGAAAATAAAAGTTATGTGCCCGTCATCTCGGCAACTGGGAAATGGAGGCAGGAGGATCAGAAGTATAAGGTCATCCTGGGCTATACAGCAAGTTCGAAGCCTGTCTGGGCTACATGAGACCCTGCCCAAAGTAATACTACTAATAATAATAATAAAAAATAAAAGCCATAGCAGACATGGCCTTCAAACCGGAGGTAGAATAAATGATTGAGTGAAATGACGATGGAGGGAAACAATGGCAGGAACCTGACACAGGCGGGTGTGTGTGTGTGTGTGTGTGGTGTGTGTGTGTGTGTGTGTGTGTGTGTGTGTGTGTGTGTGAAGGGACTATTTAGAAGGCTTGCTGGGTAGGGGTAGAGACTGCAAAGCTTAACGTGGGGGGGGGCAGCAATGACAGAAATCCTCCATTCACTCACTTCTGAGCTCTTGGATGAATGACGCTCTTCACTTCTAGAATTCCCAGAGAAGCTGGAGTCAAGAATGTACAGGCTTCTCTCTACATGATCACTTTCCTTCTCCTGGAATACACAAAACCCTGGAAAATGACTTCCAAGAGCTTGAAAGGCAGCCCGAGAACATGAAGGAACACGAACGAAGGAAAAGTCGCCCCAGCTACAGGGCCAACGTTAAGAACTGGGTGCTTCACCACTGTATTTGAATGCAAGTGCTCCCGGGGGTGACGAGCGGCACTTAGAACATGCTGTGTGGGGTGGAAACGAGAATAAGACATCACACCTATGTTAAATGTCACAACCCTATCTGGAGATCCAGGAGACAGGCAGGCAGGGCCTAGACCAGGTTGAGATGAGTGAGGCACTTGTGTCGGATACAAATTTCAAAGGGATGTTAAAAATAAAATAAAATGTAAAACATCAGCAATCAAAGGCTAAACCATACTTCAATGTCACTTTCTAAAATGCCAAAATTGGTAAAACCACCCATGACATGATCAGTGCTTAGTCTTAAGGCCGTCTTGTGCAGGTAGCAAGGTGGGAAGGATTTCAGGAAGGAGAATAACATAGGACTTTTGAAAGACGGTCTTGAGTGACTGCAAAGCACACCATATCACTCTGTGGGGTCTTCACATGTCAGGGTTTCCCTTACAGCCGTTCTGACCTCAGCTTCCACCCGTCCTGCCCTAGTAAGAAAGGCTGGTCTCTGAACACTAGATTTGAATTTCCCACCCAGGGACACCACCTAGCTGTCATGTTCACACCTGACAATCAAAGGGCATGACAATTAGAAGGGAAGCCAGGGGCAAGGAAACCAGAGCAGCACGGAGCATGCCCTCAGACAACCCCCCTCAATCACCAGGATCTTCTCTTTCCAACACAAGACTCAAGGGGATGCAGGGACCAAAGTGTAAGAAACCAAGAAGGAGCAGTCAGTCCCAGGGCAGAGCTCAAGAGAACCCAGGATCCTGAAAAGGAAGTCTAGGGTTTCCCCAGCAGCTCAGGGAGGCCAGGATGCCTCCAGGGTCCACGACCAGAGATGGACAGAAGGGACAGTGAATGGGAATACCTGGAAACAGTTCATGAAAAAGTAAAAGAAACTCACCTGGTCTGCAGAGCCAACCAGGACCCCGGGGCTGGGTTACGCTAGTTAGAACCATATTAATGAGCCTTAATCAAACAAGATTCCTGTTGCTGGCTCTCACCCTTCAACTCAGTACCAGAGATGGCGAGCCTCCAAGCAGCAAGGCCAGGAAGAGTCCAAGGAGAAGGGCTTTTCTCCTTTTATGTGCTGACTTTATTATAATTTGTGAACTAGGAAAATAATGTTTTGCCATCTGGAAATGTGTTCCCAACAACTCTATCTTGACAAGAAGTGGTTCTCAGGTCAAGCCAAGGACAGTGACAAGAGACACATGACTGAGTCATATGAAATGGCCAGTACTGGCCTTTGACCTCCAATCATACATACATTCATGCTTTTCTCCAAGGGAAGCAATCTTGCATGGTGGAGCTATCTGCGCTGGACATGGGGCTCTGGCACCACACACTGGAGAGACAGGGTCTTGCTATGTTGCCCCAGATTGACATCACATCTGGAGCTGAAGCAACTGTCCTGCCCCAGTCTGGGTTTCCAAGAATGTATCACTGAACCTAGCTAAGATGGTAGGTTTCACAGTTAGAAGAATTTTAAATAGGATTGCGAGCATCACCCCCAGCTCACAAAGGGGCTTCTGGGGGCCAGATACTGGCAAATTTATAACTTGAAAATGGACTGCTTAAGTCTCCAGGTTCTTGCCACCCACAACTCCCTGAGGGCCAATCTTAACATCTGCCCCTGAATCTAGTCTGGACAGTCAGTCTTTCCTTAGAGAAAGTCCAGTACTTCACCAGCAAGCAGGACCTGCCTCTCCTCCCAGGCCTTCTAGAGGCAATGAGATGTGTGCTTCTGAACTGCCGGACTGTGCCGTTCTTCATACACCAATCCAAAGGCACATGATCAAATACATACCTGATCGAAAGGTCAGGGTTCTGCATCCATGGTGGGGTACCGCTGGACAGATGGACACTTAGGCCCTGAGGTGTCCACTCAACGGCCACCCAGGCTGCAGGGCCCTGCGTTCTTTACTCTGTTAAAAGTAAGCTTGATGTTGATAGGTCTCTGCCTAGCACTCGGCAGGTGCAGCTATGGGGAGTGGGTGGGGGTGGGTGGCGGAGGACAGGAGAGGAAGGGCAAAGGAGAGGAACTTCACGAGTTTCTCACGGGGCAAGGAATGTCGACAACATGGAGCCGAGGGAGGCAAAAGCATGGAGTAAGGGCCAGGTCTAGACAGCCAGCAATGTCTTGTGTCCCTGAGCAATAGCCTGAGTGTAAAGGGGCTTGGTGAGGAGCATCAGACTTTGGCACATGATGTCCCATGGGCGAGGGGCCCCTTTCCCAAAGATTCTTCCAGAAGTGGCCCGATTTCAAACTCTTATCAAATGTGACCCTGGGGATGACCCTAAAAGGGTGGGGACAGCTGTCCCTACGGCGCTTTCACCAAGCTCGCTCCCATTTCCTCAGAAAGACACAGACGGTAAGGACACCCAGCCGGCCAGGCTAAGTGGGGGAGGGAATGAGAAGACAAACGATGCTGTTGTCACCTGGGCTACATAGCGTGGCAGGAGAGCAAATGCCTGGCCCACGCGCTGGGTCAAGCCAACCCCAAATCTCTCCTCTTCCAGAAGCCAAAGGATAAAACCCGAGGGAAGATGCCCCGAGGCGAAGGGGGTGAGAGGCGCACTGTCGGCTCCAGCACATTCATCCTGCAAGGGAAGACGCTGCCCCTCGAGTTGGTAGGGAGCCACAGGGTTCCTCTGCCCTCACAAGGGAAGTATAGGAGAGGAAATATATACTTCCTTTTTACAAGGAAACCCGAGAGGGGTCAAGACACAGGACGGAAGTCATGCAAGGAAAGCAGAACAGAGGAGCAGGGCCAACCTGTGCTGTCTCAGAGCCTGGTGGCCAGACTCAGTCATCCAAGCAGCGCCTGTCTGTCTGTCTGTCTGTCTGTTTTTGAGACACATGTATCAAATGTAAAGGAAAATGATGTCATCTTGTAAAGGTCAGAAGGAAAAGCTACCCTATTCTGAGTTGTCCAGATGTATGCTATTGTTATTATGACGCCTACCAGACCACAGGGATGTCAAAGAACGCCAAGTGAAGAGCATCCGCCACAGCTTCCTAGAAATAGCAGTAAGGATAATGGAGGCATCTACTCAGTTCCAACGGTATGGATTCCCCAAGGGTAAGCACTGGGAACTGAAGACCTGAGGAGACAGCTAAGATCCTGTTAGCAGCCCCAGGACGGCAGCCGCAGGATAAGGAACACCTGCTCTAAGCAGAAGGCAAGTCTTTGAGGAAAGGTAGTTGAGAGAAAGGGAGGAGCTGGCTACTGTCACCCGTGGGTTTATTCACAGCGACCAGGCCTGTTCCTAACCATGACCACCGAGGGAGGAAACCCACGTCACACAAACTGACTTCCTTAGCATTCATCCCATCTCCAAGCTCGCACGAAAAGTGTGGCAGATAGTGGTCCAGCACCGCACAGGTTTGGAGGAACCGAACAGGACATCCCCCCATCTCAACACACGCTCACGGCCCCGCTTTCTCTTCTCTCAGGTACCATCGTTTCTTTAGCAAAGCCTTCCTCTGTCTGAACATTGGGTGCACAGGAAAAGATTCCACCTGTCACTCAATGGCAGGTAGCTATCACACGGTGTGTATTCCATCTGCAACACCCCATCTTTCCCAGAAAGATGTCCACAACCAAACACGGACTGGAGAAAAACCCTGCGTGGGGCCGGAGCACGGGCTGGAACCAGCTGCAGCCCACCTTAAAGCCTTAGTGCAGCCAAGGCATGCAGATATATTTGCGGCTTGGATGCAGGGGTTTTCAGAGACCCAGAGAGGGGCACAGAGCAGACTATCCAGTCCTCACGAACAAAGCATCATCATTAGGTTGGTTGGGGCTTCTGAGGGGGCTCACAAGCTCTCCTCTCCTATCTGAGGAGTCGGACTGGTGGTGGTGTGGGGGGGGAGGGGGCAAAAGTAATCTCTTACATCCTCATTTCACAGAACCAAGAGGAAAGATGAGGCTCTACAGCCAGACCCTGGCTGACACCGGCAGCACCGCTTCCCGGTCGAGTCTAGGGGGCTGTAAGGTCAAGCCAAAGGCAAATGGGCTCATAAGGAACCGTGGAAACCAACCTCACCCCTTCCATGCCTCAGTTACAGGGACGCAGCAGGGATATGAAATCTGTCACCTGTCCCACGTGTACAGCTCTAACCCATGGGCACCCAGGCAGCCAATACGGGGAGCCTGCAGACTGACCCCGACACCACCAGGCACTGTGACCCCAACCAAGCTGTTACTGTCACGTAAGGGCCAGGGCGCGCATACAACACAGGGGGCCCAGAGGAGGTGGACGGCAAAGAAAATACGTGAGAAAGCTTTCGACGAAGCTCGGTATTCAAGTTCAGGAAACACATACTAAACCGGTCAGCACTAGCCTCTCTGGCGGGCCTCGCTGTCCAGCTCACGTGCAGGGCCCAGCACAATGGCTGTCTGTGCAGAGACAGGTGGCCTTGGTCAGCGCCCATCAGCGGACCACCGAGCACTTGAAGAACTGTATCACGCTGCTGCCTCCATACACCCAGAGTTATTACTAAGGGTTCCGTTTACTTCAAGGGTATCACAAGGTGCCCAAGTCCGATGAAGAAATCCCCACTGTTCCACATCCCAAGGCCCAGGACCCACCCCCATATGTTATCCTGACATACTTTGGATATGTCAGTGAGTCACATTGGACCTGCAGGCCACTGATTCCAGGAACGAGAGGAAAGAACAACAGAGTCCCAACAAGACAGGTCCATGCAGGAGCTGTGTCTGACCTCAGACCTGGCATCACTGAGTGTGTCTCCCAAACAACTATTCCTGAGATGAATATGCTTCTATTCAAACCTGGTGTAGCCATGGCCTGAACCCAAGGGGGTAGATGGAGCCATTCAGCAGGTGTTGACTTCTGCCTCTGTTTCTAAAACCCAAACCGAAACCAAGGAGTGACTCTAGGGCCCTTTCTACCCAACCTGACCGTTTCCCCCGCCTGCCTGCCTCCTCTCCTCCCTCCCCACACTCTCAGTTCTCACTGGGATCTGCACAGGTAGGCGGCACCAGGTCTTTCAAGCCCATTGGCCCTCATTAAGGCCAACCTGTCCCCACCAGCTAGCACAAAAGGACTTCGGACACAAGACACTCATCACACACTAAAGGAGACACTGAGTCACGGGAAGACAAGCTAAATCAATCGCAGAACATCAGTACAGAACTCAGGGCTGACAAAGGGACTCCAGGACAGCTCCGGCTGAGGAGATGAGGCAGTGGATAGATTTGGCTGGATGACTCTGCAGTGTCACCCTGAAGGTGAGGAAGACCGGAGAGGGAGGGTGGGGACATGCCTTCCTTCACCTACACAGCCAGAGCTGACACAACCCCTCCAGTGAACGTGGAAAAGAGATCCTGCAGGGCAGGAGACCCCCCCTGAAGTGGCTGGCCCTGCTTCCACCCCTTCCATCTTCAAAGTGCATTCTGAGTGCAAGGAGGAGGTCTGGATCCCAGGGGGCCTAACTGAGACAGGGCTGTGCCAGCCAGCTCCCTCCATCTCCTCCGGCTTCCCCCTTGCCCACCCTGACCCTCCTTTTCACACTAAGACCAGAACTCCTGCTGGATCTCGTAAGGGGAAGGCCCGTGTGTGTTCAGTTCAGCTCTGCACAGGGGCACCGTGCTATCCTGGCTCTGCCCCTCGGCATCCAGGTCCAGAAGCGTCCGCTCAGCGGGGGGCAGTGGCCCTGCCTGCAAAGGGAGCAGGGCTGGGAGTCCAGGCCGCTCTTCCACAGTGCTGCTGCTGCTGGCAAAGCACGAGTCCAGGTTGCTGGGAGTCTCTGTGCTGGAGCTGTTGGCTGGGGAGGCGCTGCGGGCATGGCTGGGAGACACAAACCACCACGGGTCCAGCCGCTGCCGGTTGGCAGAAGGACGCGGCCGAGGCAGAAACTCCAGGGTCTTGGGTCTCTCTAAGGTGGAGTCCCGCTGTGTGTTCCAGCGCCTCGGAGTTGGGGGAAAGACCACATTGGGGTCGGGGAGACGGGGGAATTCACCTGGGTCTCGGCTGGGGCTGGGAGTCTTCAACATTCCTGGTCAGGGAGACAACGGGAAAGACATCAGGCGATGGCGTCATGTTTCCGGGTGAGATACGCACCTTCCCCATGCTGCCATATGCCTAGGCACGTGGGCCAAAGGAACTAAACTAAAGAGCACCTGCTGTGGGTCACGCAGTGTGCTGCAAGGTGCTAGGGATATGGTAGTGAACTAGACACCAAGTAGCCTTGGGTCAAGTAATAACAACATATGGGGGTGGGGTGGGGGAAGGTCACATGAATAATGAACCAATTTAAAGGCAAAGGTTGGGAAAGGACTTTTAAGATGGTCACTTATGTTTGTAAGTAAAGTTTTATTGGGACATAATCTGGATACACTCCAAGGCTGCTTTCCATTTACCGTAGTATTGCTGAGTAGTTAAAAAAATTGTACAATCCACAGAACCTAAAATATTTACCATCTGGTCCTTTCCCAAAACAGTTCCCTGGTTTAAGGGAATGCCTGTTGTTCCGTGTTCACCTATGTAATAATCATACGACAGGAGAAGAGCTAGGTAGCAAAAAAAACGTAAAGATGATTCATGCTGTCTTTACTCCCAAAGAGGTCACACACCCGAGTGTAACAAACAAACCTGCAGGAGGAGGAGTCAAACAAAATGCTGGGGCACGACTGTCCCGCCCACTTCAACCTCTCCAGAGGGGTGTGGCCACCTCTGCTTCCCTCACGGGGCTAGGGGATGTTTCTTAGGCAGACTCGGGTCTTTCAGGGAGCAAGGGAGCAGGGCAGCAAAGCCCTAGGTTGAAAGCATGAATTCCCAGGAGCCTCTGGGGTCGGATGCAAGGCGAGCTCGTGCACGTGGGCAGCCCCCCGCCGGACACGTCTCCGGGTCTGAAGGGACAGGGGTGATGACTCAAGGAGGAGTGATGGCGAACATAATGGGTGAGTGGCGGCTGACCTTAGGTGTGTCTCTGAGCTCACGCCATAATGGCAGGGCCCAAGCATGCGGCAGAAAACACCCTTCCTAGGTGTGGTCAAGATTCCTTCCTTGTAGCTCCAGGATCTTTAGGAACAATAAGCTTGCCGCTGGGACCACTGCCCTGCACCAGAGCAGGGTCTCAGCGTGCCACTGGGTCCATGCTGGCTCTTCCTGGAACCGGCCTGTCTCCTTTCACCACCAGGAGAAGATGCCCATGGTCCACCAGGGCAGAGAGAAGTCAGCCAGCCCTGGACACCCTGCCCATCCCAGATCGTATCTCTTGCACGGTTGAGCAAGAAAAGAAATTCAAATTTCTTTGGGCTTATCCAAATCCAGACGTAGAAAGAGGAAACGAGCCACCTACAAACATCTTGACTCCCTGGGGGGCCGCAAAAGAAGCAAAGAGAAAAGAGGGAGTGGCCGCGAACTCACCTGTCCCAGGACTGGGACTCATTCCATTGCTGGAGGGGCTCCGGCTCGCTAGCGCTGGAGGGGCTCCTGCTGGCTTAAGTGCCCCATCAGAAGGAGTCCGCCTGTGACCACTCGGCTGCGTGGGGGCTGTGAGGGTGACGTGGGTGGGCGTCAGGGACTGGTTGGGGTCTCGCTTGAAGCGCTCCACTCGGACGTTAACAAGAGGGTTGTGGGCGCACGAGGCGAGAGGCGGGGCTTCAGCTGGACTGACTGGCATTTCATACACGACGATCTCATCGCTGTCAGAGCGCAGCAGGGAGCGGGTCGAGTTGCATTCGGAGATGGAGGAGAGAGAGAGCAGAGTCAAGGAAGCAGAGTGGTCTCCTAGCAACATCATTGGCTCTTCCTTCTTGAAGAGCTTTCGGGAGGGGGGGCTGGTACTCCGACGAGGGCGGCTGGCCCTTTGGAAAAGACCCTCACGTCGCTTCTTCTCTTCCCGGGCTGGTGGCTCAGGCTCCTCTGGCGGAAGCAACTGGCACTTGCCAGCTTCCAGCAAGTCAAACCCTAGGCCCGTGGCTGCCAGCACAGCCCCACAACCAAGCAGAGCCACCTCACAGCGCCGGTGGTGGGTCCCGCTGCGCTTGAGGCTGTTGGTTGGTGTCAGCTGAGGGGTACTGGTGGCTGAGTTGACTGGGGTGGGCTCCTCATGAACTCCATCACTAGAGGGGCCGTCCCCATCCTCTCCACGAGGAAATGGGATACAGAGGTAGGACTGGTTGGGCGAATGCTGTAGATGACTCTCTCCACTCCCTGGGCCTTCCCCATCTTCATCCTCTGTGAACACCAGATAAATGGCAGAGAAATACAGAATGAAGAGTCCAGTCCTTCTCCCAGCCTGACTCTGTGTCAGAGATACAGGACACGAAACTGGGCATTGAACCAATGGGGCCTGCTCAGTTCTGCCACACTCAACTGAGACCAACATGGGAAACTTACCTGCATCCCAGAGCCCATTTCTCTACTTGCAGAAAAGGGGATCTGCTACTTTGCTGCCCCCTTCATAGGGACTCCTTTGAGTGTGTGTATAATGCCACAGACCACCTCACTCATGCTCGGCAAGTACATTGCCATGGGGCTATACCTTTAGCCTCATAGGTACTCTAACAAGAACACGCAGTATGCATTCCTAGAACACCAGGTAAAAGAAACATTTCGAATATTTTTTGTCCTTAAAACTAGAAGAGCGGCCGGGCGGTGGTGGCGCACACCTTTAATCCCAGCACTCGGGAGGCAGAGGCAGGCGGATCTCTGTGAGTTCGAGGCTAGCCTGGGCTACCAAGTGAGTTCCAGGAAAGGCGCAAAGCTACACAGAGAAACCCTGTCTCGAAAAAACAAAAACAAAAACAAAACTAGAAGAGCTTTGGATTTCTAGCACTATGCTGAGCAACATGTCTTAAAGTTGGTCTGCACAAGAAATGAGAATCCTCTACATGGGTGAAGGGCAATCTGTTCCACTGATGGGCCTATTATGACTTGGAAATCTACAGAGAAAAGAATACTGGGGGAGCTGCCAGAGAACTCAGCCACCGTTCACAGCCAGAGAGTAACTCTGGAAAGGCTTGGGAAGGGGAAAGGTCTGCTTCAAGTCCTCATCCTGGCTCACTGTCCTGGGGAGAGGATTGCTGGATTCTTGGGGCGGGATAGATTCCAAGGCTATAATACAAGGAAACTATGGTTTACAATAAAATGGAAGGGACAGAAGAGAGGATCAGAGGTAAGGAACAAAACTGAGACAAACCCTACAGATAATACTAGGAATCCTTAAACAATCCTGGAAGTCTGGTCAAGAATCCTCTAAGGAAACAGGGAGAAAACCAAGGCAAACGCTATACTTACCTATCTCCATAAGGCTGGTGAACCCAGGCAGGGCGGGGCTGCTCCTCGGACCCTTCCCCAGGTTGGGGGCACTGGATGACCACTGTTTGTATCCATCTACCAGGGACTTGAGGCTGAAGAATGAGGAGGAGACTTGTCAGCACTGGCTGCTTCTCTTACTCTAGCCTGCACGGGCGTCCGGCAAACGTCTGTCCACTTAATCACACTGAGAAGCCTTGGGGACCAGACAACTCGTCCCGAGCCCACCTACTTCACAGACAAGTGCACATGCTCCAGGAGATGCAAAGCGGTGGTCTAACCCAGCCCCTCACATGCTGTGGAGCCATGGAAAGATCGAGTGAGCAGGCGGGCAAGCGGACAGAGCAAGGGCCGAGCTTGCGGAAGGTCTCGTCTGAGCCCTTCTTAAGGGAGAGGCAATCACCCCACAGGATCCGGACACAACACACTCATTACGTTACAAGTACTTCAGTGCAAACACCTGCAGTGCAAAGCAAGCATGGAGCAGATGAACCCGCAGAAATGGCCCGGGCCACTCCACTCATGTTTCTCAGGTTCTCCTTCCACGCTTCTATCTCGCATGCTTAAGCTTCCAAAGCCATTCACTCTTCAAAAGGAAAAAAAAAAAATCAAGCAACAAAGCTGCACCAACCCAGTGCACTTGGGACAGACATATATGGGGAAGACACTATGTGGTACTCCAGCCCTCCGTTTATCTGGGCACGGAGACAAAGGATGGCCGCTTTGATTTCAAACCCTGCCATCAGCTCACTGGGAAGTCTGGCAATTCTCCAGAGGTAGAATGGATTCCCCCATCATCTCCCTTACAAAGGGGGATCTGAGGTCTGGAAGCACTGGTCTTTGCCCTAGAGGGCAATAAAAGGGAGCATCGAGGAATCGGCACGTTATGGTGGCATTGAAAGCCTAGCCTATCAATCTAAGGGGACTCTGCCTGCTCACCGAAAGCCTGGTCTCTCAGAGCCCCAAGCCACCAGAGGGAGGGAGAAGCCTCAGTTTTCTCCCTGGCCTCAGAACTCTGTTTTAAGCGCTGCCAGGACACTGGTGACTTAAGACACATCCCAGACTCTGCTGGTTTCAAACAGGACACAGAGCCGGAGAGAAGCAAGTTGCTAAACCCACAGCCTGGGACTCCTGACGGCAATGTTACCACATTTCCTCCAGGACAGGGCCCAAGGAAGCCCAGATTAGCAAATAAAAAAATAGCCAGTGCTCAATGATACATAGCCAAGCGGCCTTCTCTAGAAACAGTATGCAAGGAGCATCCCATCAACTGGGGTGGGTAAACAGAAGGATTTTCCCAAGGTGCACCGGGGTACCGCTCTTAAAAACACAATCAGCTCATCCCTTGCAGTGATGAGAAATGAGAACAAGGAAATGGTAGGGCGGTTGCTACCAATACAGCTTATGGATGGGTGGAGAGCAGACTCACCCCAAGTGGAAATGTGGAGACTCTGACGGGGTACTTAAGCCATTAGTTTTTTCCCGTCTCTGGGGGGAACTTCAATGAATAAAGAGGATCAGCAAGAGGCAGTGGAGACCACCGTCAGCTCACCCTCTCCCATACTCAGACTGCTCAGGCTAGACCAGTCAGGTGGCTTCTCCAATCAGCACACCCACCCCAGGAAAAGGCTGGATAGCCAGAGGGCACCTGTAAGGGGCTGTGAATCAGAAAATACCCAAGCTGCCTACAGTGAACTATTGTTTCCTACAGACATGTACTGTTGGATAAAAAGGGGAGATGGGAATTCACTTCGCTGAATTCAAGGTTTTTCTCATTATAAATTTTCTTCAGTCAACAGACACTAAAATTCTATCACGGAGAGATCGCTAACATTTCTGATATCAAAGAGATCTGGACTCAGGTTTGTTAGAATACACTTTCATTTCTTCAATAAGAATTGAGAATAATGAAAAAAGTCAAGGCATGTGCTTCTTAATTGCCTCAAAAGTCTGCAAGGACAAATCTATGTAAGGAGAAAGAAAAGTGCAAAGTTAGCATTTTGTAGTGTAAAAAGAAAGTCAATTTACTATTAAGACCAAACAAACATTAACAAACAAACCCCCAAAACTTTAAGTGAAGCAGAACAACCAGGAAAGTCACTAGAATCCTATCTGAGGAGAGAAAGGGACCTGCAAGAAAGGGTCAGGGGGATGGTGGTGAGGGAGTAAGAAAAACTGTAATGATCTGTATGTATGAAAATGCTACAATGAAACACATTGCTTTGTATGTGCACTGAAAAATCAGTGGAAAAATTTTAATTACCAGAATCCATAGCTAGCCTGGTTAACCTCAGAATTATACTAATGTCAGAAATAGCAAATGATTCGGGGTGACTGAGTGTCTCCAAGCCAGGTCACAAAGGACAGACAGACAGCAAGGCTCTTGTCCCTCCTCTGCTCTCCGGAGTGCTGTAGACTTGCTGACCTGCCCTCCAAGGCCTTAAGTTCTGCATTCACATACACAGAACAGGTAGCTTGTCCTCCAAGTGTACATTTTCTATTCAAAGGAGCTTTGCAGTTTCAAAGCCTTACTTGGCAGAGCTGGTTCTTTAGAAATCAAATTGCTACTTTCCCCCCCTTGAGCTTAGAAGAGTTTGAATGTGAAATGTTAGTATTCAAAATTTTACCAAAACCAGTTGACAGGTTTGGAGGCCCTGTTCAGCGACCAATGGAAGTCACTGAATGCTGATAGGACTACTATCCTCACACTTAGACTAGCCAGGGGTATTCTAGAAGAAATACAAACCATGATGGCCACAATTTGGGTATTAAGCAGATGGCATGAAAGGCAGAGAATCATCATCCCAGCTGATAACTATGTATGTTCACCATGATCCAGCTAATTGATGCACCTCACAAAGAACCCTTACAGCCACCCCACAAGCTGGGGACTAGTCTTAGGCCCATTCTGTAGGTGAGAAAACATGAGCTCCCACAGTTAGATGTGGAGCTGAGTCTCATGGCCAGAAGTCTTCCTGGCCTGTGAAAAACTGACACAGAGAATTTGACTCCCAGGCCTGGAGCCTACAAGTGAGGACATAGCATACTTAAGGCACCAAGACCCTTTGCCTGGAAGGGCACTAATATATGTGGTTAGGGGCCCCACAGTACAGTCTAGGGCACTATCAGAGCCGAGTTATGGTGGCTGCCTCCGCCTAACAGGTTAACAGGCGAAAGCCCTGCAAACCCTGCTTTTTCTCCCTTTCCTCTTGTTTCAGAGGAAAGACTCAGGTTGAAGTAGGCCACTCAGCCCCACTTCCTACATTTCCGTCCTATCTGGGCTAGTTGCTGCTTTGAGATCACCTGTAGGGGGCAGCAGACCAGCGGACTGAATCCATTCCTGCCTGCCAGCTGTCTTCATAAGGTCTGACTGGAAGATAGCTACGTATACTCATTCATGTATGTACTACTCAAAGTCCAGGGAAGCTTTCATATGTCTCTGTCACCACTCGGACCCAGAAGCCTAAAACGTCACCTGGCCTTTTGTGGAAAGAGCTTAATAATTCCTGCCCTACAAGAGCTAGGAGGCTGGAAAAGTCTAGAAAGGTCAAGAAGAGCTTCCTTGCACATTTGTAATCCCAACACTCAGGAAGTGGAGGCAGGGGGATGGAGAGTTTGAGGACAGCTTGGGCTAATCTATCTTAAAAAAAAAAAAAAAAACCTGTATATTTTCCCAGAAAGTATTCAAATACACATGAGAGAAACAAAGTGTTTCCTATCGTATTTTAAAATGCTGTGCCCGTCTTTAAGTGAGAGAGAAGTTCACATCAGCTGGCTCTTACCCTTCATCTCCTGAGGTGAGCTCTTTCTGCCCAAGTGTTCCCGGTCCCCACGTCCGGCCCTTCTTCTTTGGGAGCCTCTTTTCCTCCTCCTCCCCTTCCTCTTTAGGGACCACTGAGCTCCGGCCCCAGGTTTTACTGCTTTCACCGGGCGTCACTGTGAATAACAAGGGTTGAGTAAGAGAAGTCTCTCCAAAACTGACAGACAGACCACACACACTTGCACACACCGATACACACACACACACACACCCCTACACACACACTTATTTTTAAGGAAGTACTATAGTAAAAATAAAACCAGTCTGGGTTTGGCACATGCTAAAGCTTTAACAATATTTCTCAGGACTTAGGCTTTGGACAGCCTCAGCTTGGGAAGTACAGACTGAAAAAGGACAGTGATGCCCAACAGGGCAAACAGTATGGAGGTCCTCAAGGTGGGCACCAATCTGTATCTGTATCATTCCAGTTTCCAAAACTGCTTTGCAGAGATTCACTAAAGCACTTCCTCTACCCACGAGCCCCTGGGCTGCTATCTGACGGCTGAAAGTGGAGACAGCATTGAACTTAACAGGGGACAAGGGGCAGGAGGGCTGAGGGTCAGCAAATGGACACGCGTGTGTGGACACACTGTTGAGGAAGGAGGCAGAAGTTATGGCTAGAGCAAAGCCTGAATCAGTCGGGGGCCGAGCAGAGCAGGGGCCGAGTGTCCCTGGCGTGGTCTGAAAAGCTGTCTCACACTGGATGGCTCGGAGGCGGGGGATGATGGTGGGGCTTGCCGGAGGGCTCGATCGGCTGCTGATGAGGCTCTTCCTTTTATCCATGGTCGGGGAGGCCTGCACTGTGAACTTGTGCTGGAAATCTGCTTGGGGAGAGACAAATGTGTGCGTTAGGATCATTACCCAGTCAAATTCATTCAAGAGATCCGACGTCTCCTGGCAGGCAGGCCTGAGGGACAGGCCTCGGTTTCCCGAAAAGCGTTGTTTATCCGGGAAACGTTCTCTTTCAGAGCCATCTCTTTTTCCCCAAAGGGACACGTGCCAAGAGGAACACACAGATGGCAGTCTTCATATAGCTCCCTATTTAATGGATATAGGCGGAGCGATTACAAACGGGAGCTGCTTTCCAGTGCTTGTCACCTTGCGGATTATTCCAGCAAATGGTACTGGAAATTATGCTTCAGATGGCCTGTCACCATCCGTGCCCTTTACAGGTACCAAACAGGAAGAAGCATTTGATGCTGCTCCCCCCAAAGTGCAGGCAGAGCAGGGTATTAAGAACCAGCCCATGGCGGGAATGCAGGGAGGGATTCAATGGAAATGGGGAAAAGACCCTAATCCTCACGCACCTCAAAGGTTTTGTTTTTTTAAAGATTTATTTATTCATTATGTATACAGCGATCTGCCTGCATGTATGTCTGCAGGCCAGAAGAAGGCATCAGATCTCATTATAGATGGTTGTGAGCCACCATGTGGGTGCTGGGAATTGAACTCAGGACCTCTGGAAGAACAGCCAGTGCTCTTAACCTCTGAGCCATCTCTCCAGCCCCAACGGTAGTTTTGATACTGCGTGAAGAACATGAAACTTCAGCTCTGAAGTTCTGAGTTTCAGCCTCCTCGTCCATCAGAGAGGCACTGGGGTCTGCCCACTAGACTAAACTCTCCCTGCAGATGGGAACAATAGCTTCCTATCTGCATTTGTAGTGCACAGCACGGTCCTAGCACAGCCTAGATGCTCCAGAGGTACCAGAATACTTGCAAATACAAAACAAAACTACAACAACAACAAACCATGCATGACAATGACAGCAGTGTACGCTCCCATGAGCATAGTCTCTCAATTCAATGACTTAATTCCTTTGTCTGTGCTTAAGCCATCATCCCAAAGCTTAAACATCACCCACAGCCCCTCGGGGTGCGCCATGTTTCTTTGCTTCCTTACACTTCTAAGAAACTTGCTACCCAAAGCCTTATAGACTTAGAACACGAAGAACTTATTTAATCTATAGAAATACTCACCTGTCCCCTTGGGCACATTACACTCCACCAAGATCCTAATTCACAGTTTCTTATTTCTTTGCATATCCGCCCCCCTCCTCCATAACATTACTGAAAATGTACTTTTATGGAGCCAATGTAGTTCTGACTAGCTATATATCAATCTTATAATATGAATTTTTACATATTAGCCTAATGTTAAGTGCACCGAGGGCTAATTATTAAAAGACACTTAAGACTAACGACTTTGCAGGGTTAAGATTTCTCATATGTGAACCCCCCAGAATCCCCTCACCCTGATGATACCCATGCTTCTCCAGCTTTTGCCTCCAGTGAAGTGTGCTCTATAGACTGCCATGCTTTGAGCAGCTTGGGCGAAGTGGGTTTATCATCACTGTATACTCTGCAGTCACTCACAACGAACAGTTCCCCCAGAAAGCCTGCCATCCACTGAGCAAGATGGCCCACTCCAACAGGCTTTGAGGGCCATGGTCTGTCTGCATTTCCAAGCACAGTCTAACTCCCGCAAACCCCGCCCCCAGCCCCACCCCCGCCCCACCCCCCAGCCCCGCTCTCTTTCGGCCACCTACCGGAGGGGAGGCTGATGCGGTTGCCATCCTTGAGCTTCAGTCGGCTCTTCCTGAACTTGCCCTTGCGTTTCTTCACCCTGGGCTTTTCCTGGCACAGCTGGTGGATGATGATGTTGAGCTCTCGCTCGAGGATGTCAATCTCCCGCTCAGCCAGTTCCTGTTCCCGGCGTCGCAGCAGCTCCTCCTGGTTCTTCTGCTGGAGCGCCGCCCGCGTCAGCTCCTCTTCCCAGGTGCGGAGCTCCTATAGACAGGGGGAGCCAGCAGAGAGAAGAGTGAGCCTCAGTACAGAACGCCTCAGGAGACAACCTACAGAGCTCTCCCATGGTGCCCGGGAGAGAGGATGCCCAACAGTTGGCTGGAAAGTGAACACATGCAAGCCCTGAGTTGAAAGGAAAGTACAACACAGCCATATTGTGATTACAGCTGGAGAGGTTAAAGCCATGGAACAAGCCCGGAGACAGGGGCTGATCCTTCCTCCAACAGTAGTGACTCCTTATCCCTGGGGAGCATGTCCAAGACCACAGGGAATGTTTGAAACCACAGACTCTTCTGAACTCTACATGTCCTGTGTGTCTTCCTCTAAAGTAAAATTTAACCTTTAAATTAGGCCCCATAAGAGATTAACAACTAATCACAGAGGATAATGGTAACAATAGACTACACTAAATCACCATCGTTACTACTCTTGTCCTTTGGAACCATTATTAAATAAAATCAGGGTTTTCTGAACACAGAACTGCCATATCCCAACAGCCAACAAGAAACCCAAGATCAATATAATATCTAGTTGGAATTGTGTGCACAGTGTCAGAAGGATGACTGTCCCCAGGAAGGGCAGAGCACAAGACTGGATCATGATGCTTAGAATAGCATGCAATTAGCTGGGCGGTGGTGGCACATGCCTTTAATCCCAGCACTCGGGAGGCAGAGCCAGGCGGATCTCTGTGAGTTCGAGGCCAGCCTGGGCTACAGAATGAGTTCCAGGAAAGGCACAAAGCCATACAGAGAAACCCTGTCTCGAAAAACAAAAAACAAACAAAACAAAAAAGAATAGCATGCAATTTAAAACATGAAACTGTTTACTTCTGGAATGTTCCATTTAATAGTTTAGGACAGTGGTTGACAGCGGTTAAATCAAGCCACAGGAAGCAAAGCCATGGATGGGAGCGGGGTGGGGAGGATTACTGTGACTACTTATTGACAAGATCCAATTTTAATTTTTCCTACTGGCTTGTGTAATTTATAAATTATATTATGATTTTATCAATCCAAAACAAAGGTAGCCATGAGTGGGTGATTTAGCAGTCTTAACAAAAGCCAGCCCCTTGAGGAGGTTCTCCTAGCTGGGATGAGTAGTAGTGATCGGGACGCCATCAATGGCTCCCCCAGAGGGACCCCTGAAGATTCGCCATGAGCTCCCTCCAGCCACTCCCGCACGTTAATGACCTGCCAAGCTAAGCTGTACCGCACTTGGAATCACTGTGCTGTGAAGGAGACTAATCTCTTTGATTCAGATCCAGAAGCTACTTTTAAATTATTTGTGTCGGGGTATAACAATGGTTTTGCAAAGAACACAGGGCTTAGGAGTCAGATGGCCCAGATTCAAGGACCCACTTCCTCATTCACTAGCTCCACGAAGGCTGTGAGATGGAAACAATCGCACCTGCTCCACATACTACCACACCAGCAGGACAAAGAGGTCTCGTGAGACTTTTCAAGTGAAAACAAAGTGAGAAACAAAATTAGATTATTAATCACATTTCTATTTATTCATTCATTTAATCTCCGAGACAGAGTTTACTCTATAGCCCAGGCTTGAAATCACTTTATAGCCCTGGTTGGTCTAGAACTTATGATGTACTCCAGTTTGGTCTCAAACCTACAACCCTCCTTCCTCAGCCTCCTGAGGGCTGAGATTCCAGGCCTGTGCCAACATGCTTGGCTATCACACAACTATTAACTCCCCCACAGTTCTATAGCACAGAGTGAGGAGACAAAAGGAAGTTAGCCAAGACTTCTCAGACCTCTGGATTTAGCCCTACCCAGACGGCACAGGGCATACAATTGCACAAAAACCCCCGTGTGGACACTGACTGCTAGGATCAGACCACAGAAAAAAACAGAGGGGCCACTGGAGGAATGGCCACCAAACCCAGAATCAGACTCCAGCAAGCCAAGTGGTGCCAAAGTCCCCCAGATGATTTCAGTTTGGAACCTTTTCCATAAAAACGGGAAAAATTCCTATCCTGTTTCTGACTGACTCCAAAAGACAACACAAGATGCTCTGCTCGCTCTCCTTCATGGAACCGTCCTCCCTCTAGAAGGGCCCAGTGGAACCTGGACACCCTTCCAAAACTGTCCATTTTAAGGTAGCAGGAGGAAACACTTGCTGGCAGCTGCCCACAGCCGCTCTTGTGCTGTGGACAGTCAAGCCGACCCCAAGGAGGAAGGCACTGGCGTCGGTGGCCGGGCACACTGAGTCCAGAACCCCAGGGAAGCAGTTCTGCTAAGACAAGACATGCCTTTCCCTCTTCTCTACCTTTTCTTTGGCCCTGAGTTGGTCAAACATTTCCTGAATCTCATGTTTCCAGTCATCCTGCAGGCAGTGGAAGGAGTCCTTGGGCATCTCAAAGAAACCAGACTCTTCTATGGTGGTGAGCTGGTCCAGGATACTCGTGAAAGATGGCCGTGAGTGGGGGTCGGGGTTCCAGCAGTCTGGATGGAAGAGGGGAAAGTGGAAGTCAGTTGCGCTGTCCTGTACGCTCTTGCTGAGTCAGTGCAAGGGAAGTGAGTACAAAGCTCCTGGCGCCTGACATCGCTGCCAGCTTACCACGCACAAGTGCACCAGGGGTGACTATGACCCCGTTTCCCACACATACACAAGCTGCCATCCCCGAGAAAAGCATCAGGGTGAGTCAGAAGAGTGCATTCTACCCAGTCGCTGCGCGGCCACCAACACAGTAGGCCCTTTCCCTCCTCACTTGGCTTAGCTTTGCCTGTCTCACAAGTTCTGTTTCCAACTCAGTGATTTGAGAGTCCCTTTCTTCCCTGATGACCTTCAGTTCCACACACAAGATACTCAGGTCTGGGAATAAATGCCACTGTAGCTTATTTTGTATTACATAAGGAGATACTGGAATGCAAGATAGCAGGTTTTAGTTACTAATTGCTCCAGTCACTGCAGAAAGGAACCTGCTTTGGCAGGGTGTGGCCACTGTCTAGAAACAGCTCTCCCGACTCTTGCCCTGGGTGGCTAATACTCCATCATCTCCTCTTTCTGCAGCAGACCTCGTGACATGAGGAAATGTCACCTGAGTGCTGTGTAAGGGCACACAGCCACCAGCTCTCCTCGGGCCAGGAGTTCCTTACCTTCCATGAGTTTGGCAAAAGGCTCTGGACATGTAGAAGGAATAGGAAGGGCGAGCTTGTTCATGGCCACTCCATAGGCCACTGCTAAGCCATCAATGCCGCGGAAGGGGACCTCACCAGTCAGCAGCTCCCAAAGCAGCACTCCGTAGCTGGGGAGAGGAACAAGGTAGAAACTACATAAGAAACAACAGCTACGACCTCATCAAAACAGCTACCGAGGTTTATCCAGGCATTCCCACATCACCCTCAACCCATAGAAGACTAGTGGAATACACACACTAACATAAAGGGAAGCCACAAAGCCTACTAGCGAAAAGCAGAGACTCTGGAGCGAGGTACATCTGGTTTAAAGTGTTGGTCCATCATCCCCTACCCACAAATCCATGGGCAAATCACTCCATTGCTCTGAGCCTGTAATCCCTCCTCTGGAGAGAGCAAATAACACTATTAGACTCACAGTTGCCGGAAAATCAAATGAGTCTTTAAGAGCTTAAATAAGTACTCAATGGCTACAGCAGTTTTATTGTTTCAGAACAAGGTCTTACTGTGCAGCTTAGCCTTGGCCTGGAACTCCTAATCCTCCTGTCTCAGCCTCCTGAGGGCTAGGATTACAGGCGTGCACCACCATGATGGATTCTGTTAGTGTTAATGAAATATGCCCGTAGAAGAGACTCTCCCAAACAGAATCTTTCTATTTTTAAGACAACTTTTGTCACAGATACATTTTTATTTTATTTATTTATTTTTTTAGAAAACCAATGAGCATTTATTTAACATGGATTTTGCTCCTGCAAAAGATTTCTTTAAATGTCTGCTAGGTTAATACACATTCCCGACTCCAGATCGGTGCAAACAGGACCTTCATAGAAGCTTCTGTCTAGCTCTGTGAGTAAAGTTCCACAGGGTAGACTGTGTCAGCAGGGTAGAACAGCACACTAGCTGTGAGAACTCAGTGTCTCCCAACCTAGCAAGTCCACAGAAGCATGTCTTTATCGCTGATGAGTCAGGAAATGTGGAGCACAAGGCATAATGGAAGAATTAGTCTATAGAGCCACAACCAAAGCCACGCAAAACTACACAGCAGGACAGGACAACGTAAGTCTGTGAGCACCCAGAAAGCAGGCTCTGCTTGTACCTGCCACACAGACCTCAAATTTATCGTAACACTCCTCAGCAGTGTGCAGCTGCAACAAAGGCTGTCCTAATTAAATGATGATGATGATGATGATGATGGATCTGGAGGGGTTTCTTAGTGGTTAAGAGCACTTGCTACTCTTGAATAGAACCCAGAATCAGTTCCAGCACCCACATGGTGGCCAATGACCATCTGTAACTCCAGTTCCAAGGGACCCGACACCCCCTTCTCATCTCCATGGGCACTGGGCATGCACACAGTACACACATATAAATACAAACAAAACAGGGCTGGGGAGATGGTTCAGTGGCTAAGCACACTGGCTGTTCTTGCAGAGGATCCTGGTTTGATTCCCAGCACCCACATGTCAGCTCATCACCATCTGTAACTCCAGTTCCAGGGTATCTAGCACCATATTCTGGGTAATGTGCACCCTCCCACCCCCATAATAAAGTAAATCTTTAAAAAATAAATAAATACATGCAAAACACTCACACATATGAAATAAAATAAATAAATCTAATTAAAAAATTTTTGTAAAGGCAAAATGATGATGATGATGATAATCAGCAACCCTGTATGTATCAGTATACCTTGCTGTTTTAAAGGGCCTTGCTATGTAGCCCAGGCTGTTTCAAACTTCCTAACCTGCTCCAGTCTTCTGAGTGCTAGGATTACAGGTGTGCGCCCGCACACTAGACTCTTGTTTTCCTTCATATTTTCATGCAATGCTGGAGACTGAATCTACAGTTTTGCACATGCTAGGCAGGCACTCTGACACTGTGCCCCTCTGCCAAACCTATCACTTCATTTTTGGTTTGTTTATTTTTTGCTTCTTTGTTTGTTTTCTCTGTGTAGCCCTGGATTTTCCTGGAACTCATTCTGTAGACCAGGCGGGCCTCGAACTCTGAGATCTGCCTGCCTCTGCCTCCTGGAGTGCTGGTACTAAAGGCGTGTGCCACCATGCCTGGCACCTTCCCTGATACCCTGAATGTACAGGGAGTATGGCATTTTACAACATCATTCTGAATCCTTGCAAGGATGTAGGCAAGTATGAGCACTACTTGGCAATCGAAGAAAGTGAAATCTTAGATCGGTTTAGTGGTATATATAGATGCCCAGCTCCAGACACTGGAAACGAGGGTAAAAGACATAGGTCTTCCACAGAGAAATTAGTGAGAGGTACAGAAAAAACAAAATGAGGACAGGATATAGAGATAAGCCACAACAGGCTTACCAGGGCACAAAGAGGAAACCCTAAACCAGACCACAGTGGGAAAAGCAAATAACCTTTAGCTAATTCCTGACTGCTAAATGACAGAGGAAGTCAGAGCTTTAAGGGTCAGCACATAAAGATGACCGAGCACAGTTTGCTCAAAAACACTCCAGATTATCTAGCACAACTCCAAACAATGCACCAAGGCACTGAGTCTGGGGGCCTACAAGTGGCCCCCTGGGGTGGTCCAGCCATCCTGGCTTTACTCTGTTAAGACGTCTAGATACTGTCACTTTCGTTACGAATCTTGACAGGGAATGGGCAGTTGTAAGGCTTGTCTTGTCTCTCCACCGGAGTTAGATTTTAGTAGGCAGCTGATGAGAACAGCCTACCATGGTATCCTATGTTTTAACTGCCATGCAGTTGTTTGCCTTTCTATGATTCCTGAAGAGTGGGGTCAATGTTAATAGCTTTGAATCCTCGAATGCTCGGGGCCTCTGACTTGGTATAATAGGTGTCTACAGACGGATAACAGTAGCTCTCATCAAAGAATCTTCTTTTTGCAATAGATGGAGACTATTACAGACATCTGGTCAAAACGCAGAGTAAGTGACTATGGGGTGTCCAAGTGGTCCATCTCTAGTACAACCCCTACACCCGAGACTAGGAACATTGTGAAAAAGGAAGCAGAAAAAGTCTAAGAGTCAGAGTCCTGGGACACCTGATGCTGGATAGTGTGTCCTAGACACAAGCAGGGCAGCTACAACCGCGAAATCCTGCAAAACAATATGATTGCCTGAATAGGACTTGCATAATGACACTAGTTGACGTGCCCAAGTGGATGGGAAACTCTCACTCCTAGATGAAGAGCTAGAGTCAATCAATGTCTGCTGAATGAGGGAGAATTGGTTTTCTTCAGGGACAAGCCCCCAGACAGTTTCCAATCCCAAGTCGTCAGCCCTAAAAACATGTATATATAAGCAACATTAAATGGACTCAGTAGGTTGTGTGTGTATAAAACAGTAATAATTTAAACAGAGTTATAAATTTGAGAGGGAGTAGAAGGGACATGGGAGGAGCTGAAAAGGGAGAGGGAAGGGTGAAAATGATGTAACTATGGTACTCACGTACGAAGTTCTCAAAAAAAAGGACATATGAGTGTGGTATGGATATGAGGCAGGTGTGCATGCACGGTGGGTGTGCTGCCATAACCCCTGAACACCATCAAGAATTACGCTATCAGAGTTGAGGATGTGGTTTGGTGATGGAGTATTTGTCTAGTATATACAGACCACAGCTTCCACCCCCAGCAGGGAGCGAGGGAACGAAGGAGGAACGGGAGGACAGGGTGGGAATAAAGAAAAACTATACTTCTGCCAAACCTGGACTGTGACTGACCTAGACTGTAGTCACACTTGGAAGCTTTTACCAAGCAAAGATGATTAGTGTCTGAGCCCTAAGTACAGTGTGTTTCAAAGACCGAAGTATGCCTGGTTTGTGTCCTGGTATCCCTTCTCTGGTGGTTTCCCACCAGGCCTATGTAGGTAGCCAATGAAGAAGTCTCAGGCCACCTGTAAGAGGGAGGAGCCAGGGCTCTACCCCCTGCAGCATCAGCGAGGGAAGCACTACCCTGCTGGGCTGTTGGTTGTCTGTGATCTGCTCTCCCTGGAGGCATAAGAGTTGAGGAGAGGGAGGATGAGGACGGAGACCCGAGCATGGCGCACCGTAAAAATTAAATACGTGGCACTTGCAGGAGTAAAAGAATCACAAGTCAGTTTAGAATCAGCTTTCTACAAGTTCCTAGACGTGTGTCCGCCCTCGCAGGGAGCCCTGTTGGGTCTGAGCCACGGTGGGCCAGCCAATCATTCTGGCAGAGGCTGCCCAAAACACTGGAGCAAGAGTACACAGTTGGTGATGTGTTTCCAGTACATAAGTGTTGCTGTGTGAATAGCAATGGACAGGTATTTTCCTCTGGTAAACACGAGAGATCTTTTAGAGCCATCCAGAGTATGCTTGAGTGGAGCGGGGAGCGCCCACATAAAGGAGGCAGTAAACAGTGTCTTCAAGAAAATTCCACAGCACAGGAGCTAGGAATGCTGAAAAGAAGCAGGCATATTGGGTTTTCAAGCTGCAGTCATCCACCAGACTGGAACAAGGGCTTATATGTCCTAGGAGCAATTTTATTATTAAGAAAATTTACTTAATTTTTTTAATTATAGGGGGAGGAAATGTGTACTTGTGAGTACAGGTGTCTCCAGAGTCCAGGGGAGTATTGGATCCTCTCCAGTTAGTTACAGGCAGTTTTAAGTTGCCCAACGTGGATGCTGCAAACTAAGCTTGGATCCTCTGTAAGAGCAGTATGCACTCTTTGTTGTTGTTGTTGTTGTTAGTTTTTCAAGACAAGGTTTCTCTGTATAACCTTGGCTGTCCTCGAACTAGCTCTGTAGACTAGGCTGGCCTCAAACTCACAGAGCTCTGTCTGCCTCTGCCTCCCAAGTAAATGCTGGGACTAAAGGCATGCGCCACCTCCACCTGGCCAGTATGCACTCTTAACCACTGAACCATTTCTCCAGCCTCCCTGAGGACAATCTAAGCTACAGTCATTGGCTGTGCTGGCTAGTTTTATGTCAACTTGACACCAGCTAGAGTCATCAAAGAGGAGGGAGCCTCAACTGAGAAAACGCCTCCAGAAGATCAGGCTGTAGGGTAAGCCTTTAGGGAAATTTCTTAATTAGTGACTGATGGGGGAGGGCCCAGCCCACTGTGGGTGGTGCCATCCCTGGGCGGGTGGTCCTGGGTTCTCTAAGAAAGCAGGCTGAGCAAGCCATGAAGAGCATGCTAGTAAGCAGCACTCCTCCATGGCCTCTGCCTCAGCTCTTGCCTCCAGGTTCCTGTCCTGTTTGAGTTCCTGTCCTGACTTCCTTCTATGATGAACAGTGATGTGGAAGTGTACAGTAAATAAACCCTCTCATCTCCAAGTTGCTTTCTGTTTCATTGCAGCAACAGAAACCCCAGCTAAGATACTGGTGGACCGTGTGACAATATTCAAGTTATTTTCCCCAAAGATGTTTTCCGATGATCTGAAGCTCACCACTCAGCCTGTCCTGTTAGGATGCCTCTCACTAGAGCCTCTTCAACTGGCTTTCACCAGCAGTGATTTTAGGGACAAGACCCACATCTCAGACTTGTTAACAGGGTATTTGGGTAAAAGCTGAAAGAGTCTTCCCCCATGGAAGACAAACAAGCCCCTCGGTAGCCCTGTCCTTTCCTGACTGCCACTTCTGTCACTCTAAGACCCTAAACCAGGTGCTCACACTCCCTTCCCGCCAAGAACAGGCATGGAACTGGGTGAGTCTGTCCATATCCCAGCAGCAGCAGCAACTGAGTAAAGAACAAAACCTGAGAGAAGCGAGGCAGGAGAATACACACGTTATCCTGTAAGGAGAGGGAAGGGAAGGAGAGCATGCCCAGTAGCTGTGACTCAGGGGTCCCTATTCCCGAGAGAGCTTTAGCTGGACACACAGTAGCCAAAGCTGCATTTGGTGTCTTCAGAGCCGAGTGAGTGCAGGTAATGGGACAGGACAGGGAGCCGTGTACACGTGAGAACAGGTAATGGGATGGGGAGCTATGTACACGTGAGAGCAGGCAAGGGGACAGGACAGGGGAGCTGTGTACACGTGAGAGCAGGTAATGGGACAGGACAGGGGAGCTGTGTACACGTGAGAGCAGGTAATGGGACAGGACAGGGGAGCTGTGTACACGTGAGCGCAGGTAATGGGACAGGACACGGGAGCTGTGTACACGTGAGAGCAGGTAATGGAACAGGACAGGGGAGCTGTGTACACGTGAGAGCAGGTAATGGGACGGGACGGGGGAGCCGTGTACACCATGCAGACTGTCTTCACATCAAAGACAAGCTTCTGGCCATGGATAAGCTTGGCCTCCTTTCCTGCAGACTATGACACAGAAGTAACTGCAGCTCAGATTAAACCACTGGGACAAAGACAGGAAGGGAACCCGGAGGACCTGGGTCTCGCAGGGCACAGCTGTCCTGCCAACCTGGGCTGCCTGGACCACTCCTTGAAGCAGAAATACACTTCTCTTATGGATGCTTCCATATCGATGGGTCTCCTTGTCACACCAGGTTAGTTAATACACCAACGGGGCCTAATTAGTATCAGTCTCACCAGTGTGTGAAGAGACACTGTGCGTGTTAAGCCGCAATGGGACTGCTGTTTTTAGAGATCTGTAGCAGTGAACTATCAGGTCAAACATTTGACAAGGAGGAAACTTACTCCCAAGTAGGTACTTCACTCTGTAACGAACATACAGCAAGATGAGAATGGATACACAGAGTACAAAAAAACTCTGAAAGAAATTAAATGAATGAGAACATCTCACATTTATGGGTTGAAAAACACTATCTCAATGATGTCCATAGTCTTCCAAATAATTCACAGGTTAAACACAATTCCTCTGAAAATCCTAGGCGTCCGTTAAGGCGATGGCACCTGTAATCCCAGTGCTTGGGGACACAAAAGCAGAAGGATCTGGAATTCAAGAGCATCTTTGCCTATTTACCTAATCTGAAGCCAGCAGGTGCTATACGAGGCCAGTCTTTACAATAATAATAATAATAAAGAATCCCAGTTGCTTATTTTGCAAAATTAACAAAACGATGCTAAGATAAAGGATTACAAGGCAGAATTGGAGGACTGTCATTGCTAACTTCAGAACTTACTACAAAGCCGCGCGTTAGTCAGGATTAACACAGTGATACTGGCTTACCCGCAGACACAGACATGCTAACAGAGAACTGAGAGCCCAGGAACAAGCCTCCCATGTCTCGTGCGATGTTTGTGGCAGAGATGACAGAGTGTTTCCACGGGAAGGGAACAGTCTCTTCAATGCGTGGTCCCGACACAAGTGAACAGATTCGAAAATATAAAGCTTGGCCTCCACCTCACACCACATGAAAATCAAGTCAACATGGATCAGAAACCCCAGGGTGAGAACCAAGATTATAAAATCCTTAGAAGGAAACAGAGCTAAGAATCTTCACAGGCCTGGCCGAGGCAATGCTTTCTTAGGCTGACATCAAATGTCAGGCGAGAAGAGAAAACTAAGAACCCCTTGGGTTTCAAAGTACACTACTGAGAATTATCCAAAAAAACACAGAGTGGAAAAAAAATTTTAAATCATGTATTAAAATACATGCAATAATAAAAATATTTTAAAACTCAAAAAATAACAAAAGATAAGCCAGTTTTTAATTGGCAAAAGAGTTGGACAGAGAGGTGTCCTGAGAAGATACACAATGCTCAATGAACACATGAGAGACTCAACTTCAACAGTCATTCAGGAAATGCAAATTGAAAATGCAGTGAAACCAGGCAGCGGGCAGTGGTGGCGCACGCTGGCGCACGCCTTTAATCCCAGCACTCAGGAGGCAGAGCCAGGCGGATCTCTGTGAGTTCAAGGCCAGCCTGGGCTACAGAGTGAGTTCCAGGACAGGCACCAAAACTACACAGAGAAACCCAGTCTCGAAAGACAAACAAACAAACAAACAACCCAGTGAAACACTTCCTCACAGACTAGGTACAACTCAAACAGCTGCACCAAGTGACAGATGGAAGAAGAGAAGTTGGTGGAATGGACCCCTGTGATTTCAACGGAGCATCTGTGGACAAAACGATTTGTTAGGCCCTCAAAAAGTTTCACATCTACTTAACTGCATGAGGGCACAAGCCCACGTGAGCAGAAAACACACAGTCACAAAAGAATTCATGCGTCCATGTCCACAGTAGTCTTATTCATAACATCCCCAAAGAGAAAAATCACTATCACGTAATGAATGGGCAAGTGAGCAAACATGTCCTGCCTGTATCCTGGAATACTAAAAAGCCAAAAAAGGGATGCATTTCTAATGAAGCTACCACATGGATGGACTTGTGAGCAGGTTAAATGTGAGAAGTGAGTGGCGGAGGAACACGGATTGTGAGAGTGCACTGATGTGAAATGGCCATGGGGGTCTAACCTGGAGACAGCAAATAGGTCAGATGGGGTTTCTCATGCCTCCTCTTCTGGAAACAGCGATCGCAGTGGGTTAGATGATGGCCTGAACGATATCTGTTGATGTTCTAGAACTTAGAGTCCACAAGTGGACTGGGGTCTCCTCTAGGATCTTTAGGACAGGGCCCTGCTGTACCTGTTCCACACTTTTGGTCTCCAGAGCTATGAAAGAGCAAATCTCCGTGGCTTGAAATCATCTGGTGTGTGGAAACGTGTTACAGCAGTGTAGGAAGCAGGTAACAGTGGTGGACGACGCTCAATTTACTCATGTACTTAAGCTTGTTTAGGTTTTGTTGGGTCTTTGTTTCTGATTTTTTTTTTTTTTTTTTTTTAATGAGACAAGGTCTTGCCTATCCCAGGCTGCCCTCGAATGGCTGAACCTCTGATCCTCCTGCCTCCACCTCTAGAGTACTGGGATCACATACCCACACCACACCCAGTTCTCTGGTGCTGAGGATGGAAATCCAGGGTCCTGTGCACACTACTCTACCTGCTGAGCTACATCCCAGTCCTGAAGCGAGCTTTATAAATGCTAACAAGTACTGACCTACATACTTTAAAGGGTGTGCTTTATGATATACGAATAATATCTCAAGGAAGTCACTTTAAAGGGAATATACATGTATGGAAACATAAACACACACACACACACACACACACACACAAACACACACGTGCTTACTCTGTCACATGATAGGAAGCACCTGTCCTAGGCTGAGGTGCACTGATAACCCGGTCTTTTCTTGTACAGGTGAAGGTGTCACTACTGTCTTTCAGACAGGACAACGTCTATCCTATGGCAGCTCATCCTCTCTCAAAGGCAACATGATTGTTTTTTTTTTAAATCTATGTCCTTGTGACCTCTTAGACTGACACTTGCTAGTAGAGACGGCTGGCCACGTCTAACCTGTCACTCCACAGCTCTTAGGGCCTGCTGGGGACCCATCTATTCTCATTTCTAGATGAACGTCCAACATACAGAGTCCTGAGTAGAGGAATAACTAGATAACTGGAGAGGAGAATTTCCAAGTTATCGAGAAAGACAGCACAAAGAGTATCCATTGGCTCAGGAGCTTACAGGGAGGACACCGGGTTAAGTTCACCCTGAGCCCAGCAGTAGCAGCCTCTGAAGCCCAGCAATGTGGCTGAGCCAAGCTACTGCCCACCCGACAGGTCGGAGACTGAAGTACACGGTGCCCCTGGAATCTGCTGACCCCTCCTGAGGAGCCATCTACCGCAGAAAGTGCCTTCAGAGACGAAGCAATTGATTGCCACAGCATCCCTCAGCAACACAGAAATCAGTACAGATTTTTCGAGAGGTCACCCAGACATACTTGGGGTGCCGTGGGCCGATTCAACCTCAATCACAAGTTCTGAAATGTGCAGGCAAAACAGACCTGTCGGGAGCTCGGAGGCGGCAGCTCTGGATCTTACCTCCACACATCACTGCCTTTGGAAAACATGGAGGCACGGATGACTTCGGGTGCCATCCAAGCGTACGTCCCCGCCGCGCTCATCTTGGTGGTCCGGTGCCATTCCCGGGCCAGCCCAAAGTCGGTGATCTTCAGAATCTTGTTACTCAGGTCTCCATTCTCCACTTTCTGCAGGATCAGGACTGATGAAGAGAGCAACACAGAAGAAGGCAGATAAGCACTAATCACAGGGTCTCCGCCATCCCCCTGCCACCTCCTGCAGGCTCTGCTCTGCCATCGTGCACAGACGGCAGAGCCGCCATTTTACATCCACCCACAACACGCTCCTTCCACACCGTGTATTTCTGTTGGCATCATCTCAAGTGCCCACAATGCCCTCACAAGGCAGGCATTCCAGGCCGAACATCCCTTACCCAAAAAAACTATTTAGAGGGAGTTTTTAAAGGTGCTTCCAAATCCAAAAGGACCCCAAATTCTGAAACTCTTCTGGTCCTACACATACAGGATCAGGATTAGGGGTCCTCAGCCCGTATTGCCATGTTTGTGTCACAGTTCAGGGCTGGATCCCAGGCAGCCTGATTTGAGAGGCTGCTCTCCTGCCGCAGTGACTGACAGAAGAGCTGTGAGTCACACGGACTCTTCTGAGGGGCAGCCACCTGGGTTATACCCCCTCACAGGTCCCAGGGACTGGAGACGCATGTTGGACTTTCAAAGTTTCAGATACAGCGTATAGACAGTTTCTGTGACCCCCTTACAAGTATATCCCACCCACCTTCTGACACGGCGACACTAATATCATCTACAAAGTTCACGTTCGGGAACCATACAACTGAGTTACAAATTATCTATCTATCTATCTATCTATCTATCTATCTATCTATCTATCTATCTGGCAAAAAAAAAAAACCATCCCCACCCACCCCCCAAAATGCGTGTTTTAAATAAGTTTACCATTTTGTATTGGGCCACACGTATAGCTACCTTAGACACATGAAGCCCATATGCTGTGGGTTGAACACCCCCGACACTCTTAAAGTCTGCCTATTTGGGCCTTGGAGATTTTGTCATAATCCAGGGAGGGCCCCCCACAACCAAGTGCGAAATGGCTGAGGAGCTGGGGAGGGTCAGAGGCACACACATACATGTGTGCACACTCATGATATCCTCAGTGAGCACGCTCAAGAAAGAGGAGCTGGTGCAGGGAGGACTCCAAAGCGCTGCAGTGTGGGAGGCAGTCTGGCTCTCCTAGGGAGGCAGCTGAAGAAGCCGCCTCACCCATATGGTGGTCCCAGCCATAAATGTAACCCGGTGGGAGACAATGTAGCTAAAAATCACCCCAAACGTAGCTGACTAAGGTGCCACACTGTACACTCTGCCAAGTGGGGGACCAGGGAGCTGTCTGGATAAGTGCAGGACAAACCTCCTTGTCCTAAGTGGGATGGCTCAAAAGCTTTGGGTGAGCAAACAAAGCTCTTTAGCCAGACTCAGCCTTGCCTGAATCTGTGTCTGTGGGAGTTCAGAGCAAGAAGAAAGGTTCCCTCTTCACCCTGTGAGGAAGAAGCCTGCTGGAGACAGTGTAGCAACTACATTTTTAAAAGGGATTCAGCTGGGCCTGGGGAAACAGTAAAAACAAGTTAACTCTCAGCCCAGAGTGCCAAGCTGACCTAGAAGTTTCTCACTATGCTCCATGGGCCTCTGAAGTAGGCTGTACCGAGACGCCTCACTCACACTGCAGACCCCCACAGCAAAGACCCCTCCACAGCTAAAGAACAGAGCCCAGGATGGCAGTACCTGGGTCAACTTTAAGGATGGAAAGGGGTGCTTCAAGACACAGCCACACCACACCCCTCTTCTCCACCCCTACTCCGCCCGCTGGACTGTCACGTCTTGAAGGGACAGGGGCCAAAGAGCTCCAAGTCCTACGTGCTGCTCAGAACAGCAGCAGTATGGTGGGATTACCAGTAGCTACAGAACTGGAGGCTGGAAAGAAAACAACCCCACCCCAGACCTAATGGACTAAGCTTCCCTCCTCCTCCACACCCTCTCTCCTCCAGACACATCCCTCCGCACCCTGGCTTCCCCCACCCAGGAGCTTGAGCAGATACAAAACAAGGAAAGAAAAAAAAAAATCCTTCCTCTCCATATTTAGAGAAAAAAAAAAAAAAAACTTTCCAGAATCTTCCAAGGCAGAAACAACAGGAAAGCAGACATTCAAATAGCCAGGCAACTGACACTAAGGAAATGCCCCATTCCCACTCCTGAGGTCACCAGCCACCGAATGTCCTCAGAGAGAGTGCCTCTCCTACACACTGAGTGAGGTCCAGGCACCCCAAACCCTGGGGGGTGGGAACAGGGTACAACGGGGAGCGAGATGGCGCTTCCTATTCGTCTGTTTGAGGGCTGAAATGAGATGTAAGGCTAATGGGGCGAGATTCAGCCATGGACTGCCCGTCTGCATGGAGGAGGACAGCTAGCTACAGGTCAGTTCTACCTGCTCACCGCCATCCCACCCACCTCCGACTGACTCAGCTGACCTCACACACTTGCCCTTTTTGGACTCCACGACCTAGGGTCCTACCCTCATCAACACAGAGGGACTACAATCTGAAACCAGTCTGCTACCTCAGCAGGCGGTAGCAGGCTACCATGATCTGACGTCCTAGTCTACCCAGCACCAGCACTGGCACACTTGCTGTCGGGCACTTTTGGTTGAGATGAACTAGGAAACATACAATCAAGCACTGTACAGCCAATGATCCAGTGGAGTGCGACTCCTCCACGGTGCGGCATGGCTGCCACCTGCATTGGTTCCAGGACATTTTCATCGCCCCAAAGGAAGTCCTGTAACCATGAAGCAGACAGTCCCCATTCCTCTCTCCCCCCCGGGCATGAGGAACCACCAATCTGCTTTTGACTTACTGATTGTGAATACTTCGTAAGATAGAATGATATGTATGGTATGGTATCTGTCTTACTTCACTTAATGCTTTCAAGGTTAGTCACATTCTAGCTTAATAATACTCCATAGGAATACATTCCTGCTATATACGTAAATAGGGCAGCTGCTCATTTGGGATCATGCGCTGTGTAACTGAACATGGCTGCTTACTAAAATCATCTTTCGGAGTCCTTTAGTCCTCTCTAAGACGTAGGGGGATGACTCTCCCTGTTATATCCAGTCAAAAGAGATGTGAAAAGATTAGGTCAGTTGTGTCTGGTTGATGAGGGGTTGGCGGGGACAGGAGCAGAATCCACACCTCTCACCTCATAGCCTTGTTCTCCACATCTGTGCCATGTGGTCCAGAGACGAGAAAGAGACTCCGTCTTTAAGGCTTAACTCAATTTCCTTATGGCTGACTAACTAACTCATCTTCTCTGCCATCCCAATGCTACTCCTTCCTCAGCAGCCAAAACCAACTGCGCACAATTCAATAGGTCACACGTCCAAATACTCCCTGCTGGGGCATCTAAGTGTCCATCATCTTTTCCTCTAGAATGCCATGGGATCTGATTCCCGGAGGATAAAAACCTCATACTCTTCTAGAATCCACGATACCCTGCTCCAGGAAGCACACACAGGGCCAGGCTCTTGACAAGAACCCCCTCCTGCCTAGCCAGTTACTGACTGAGATGTACCCATGCATTTTCTCTATTGCTTCCCCATGTTAATGCTGCAAAGTGTTGGGGCATGATTATGCAGAGGAGAGCAGAGTCAGAGAAAGGAACACCTCGGTCGGGGGTTCCCCAGTGATGCAATGTGGGGTGTGGGCTACAGAAGAAGGGTTAATTTGGAGATTCTGCCTGCAATGGCTACGGCAGTTACTTGGCACCCTCTGCCCAAGATACCCGACAGGATCAACCTAAGGGAGGAAAAATGTACTCAGGTTCTCTGCTTCAGAGGATCTCAGTCCACACAGCGAGGAGGGCACAGTGCTCACTGCAGAGGACTGAGCGGAAGTGGGTCCTGTCCTCATGTCACAGCCCAGAAACGGAGCTACATCTTTTCAAATCCTCCCCCCTTAGCGACCTACTTCTGACAGCCAGGCCCCGTGTCCCAAAGGTTCTACCACTATCTGTTAGTTTGGAAATGGGTTTTATGGACTAGTTCTCCAGCCTTAGAAATAAAAAAAATTGTATTTATTTGTGTGTGTATGTGTGCATGTGCGTGTCTGTGTGTGTGTGTGTGTGTGTAGAGACATTCATGCTACAGCATGCAAGTACAAGTTGAAGGTCAGCTGCAGGGGTCAGTTCTCTCCTCCCATGATCAAACTCAGGTCATCGGTCTTAGAGGCAAGCCCCTTCACGCTCTAAACCACTCCCATCTCCTTCTCTTTCCTCATCTACCTGCTTTTTTTTTCTTCTTCCATATTCTTTGCTCTTCCTTTCTTTCTGAGCTATGTTGCTCTGTCTCCCGATCCTTCAACTATATTTTTACTCCCCATCATGGTTTCCTAAGTTGTAAAAGTTCTTTGTTATTTTCTCATTCATTTTTGGGGGAGAGAAGTACAAACGCTCCCGGGTGGCAGCTGCTTCTGTACAACGGGTCTAATGTCTCCTCCCTGTCTCTTTGTTTTCCAGCACTGTAGCCTCCTGAAGGGCTTTTTCAGCCTCTGCTTTAGTCTCTAGAGGACTTTGCTGAGTCAGGCTCATCCTTGGCTTGCTGATGTGATTCAGCACATAGCTGCGCGTGTGTTCAAAGGGGTGTACCTTAAGTTTTAAAGGGACACACCGAAATATTCACATGTGAATCAACAGGGTGTTGGTGATTCCCTTCAAAATAATAAAAGGTGGGAATGAGTGGAGGACAGAAGGAAGAAGAGCTATGAGTTGGTAACTGTTGAGGCTGAGTACAAGAGGACTCACGGGGCCATTCTCTTCATATGGGCACGTGTCTTCCACAGGAAGAGGAAGAGGGAAAGAGGGAGGAACAGAGACACACCACAGTGTCGATGCCTCTTTTACCTAAAGGAGAACTACCCCTGAGCCTTAGCAAGCAGGAGGAAGAAAACAGCAGCAGACATGGACCCAGGATGTCGAGTCCCAGCGCCACGCCTGTGAAATCCTCTCCAGGACTCCATTTCTCCACCTGACATTCTCTAAGTCTGTAATTCCCTGAAAGCTTCGTCAGTCTTCCCGGGACTCAGCCAAGCTCTGTCTTGAGATAAGAAGGAAAAACCTAAGG